GCACGTAAACCTCTGAAAAAAGATAAGCGAACCTCCTCGGCTGAAACTCCACAGCCAACGCCACAACATCTTTCTGCGTCGGGCCGAATTTTCAGAAGCCGAGAGCGAGAGAGCACGTGCTTAAGCCATCGGCTGCATAAACTGAATGATATAGACGTACACAAGCAACATCCTCCGAGTTCCTTTAGAATTTTTTTTTCCCTTCATAAACCAACTTATTTAGAGTCCTTTTAGGATCTCTTCCCCGCAAGTGTTTTTCTCCGCGTTTCTTTACATTTATATTTCCTTCTCTGGCCTGAAATGAAGGAAAATATTGAGGAAACAATCGAAGATTGTACCTTAGTGATCTTGGAAAAGCTAATCATGTGGAACCTTAATAGTAGTAAATGGGAGTCCTTCAAAAAACCTCATAGCTGGAGCTCAGACTGGGAAGTGGAAAAAACATCGGAAGACAACAGAAGCTTTCTGTACTATTGCCAAGAAAGCAACATACAAGTAATTAAATTTGGAGTTGGACTAGAGAGAATCTTTATGACTGATTTCTCTAACAAGAGAAAACTGTAAAGATTAAAACCATTAAAAAGTACACCTTCCCTTTCCTCTCACACTTTTTAATCATCTTTAAACACAACCCTTTTACAAAGTAAGAAACAGGAGGGGTCTGGTTGCCTTGGAGTGCTTAACTTAGGTAGGATGGGAAATCTAAGTAGACCAATCCTTGCTATAATATGTGAGGTTTTTAATTTGAGGATGGTACAGGACTGGCTATTCAAATAATTCTATGCATTCATGCGACATGCTCAGAAGTTTGATGAGGCAGAATATACGTCATTGAAATAAATGTTAACTCATAATTAAGTTAAACTTTATGGAATTATTCTATTTTGGATTTTCATGACACACTAAGCTATAAAAGTATTGGGTTGGTTCATGCCACATGTTAGGCTAAAATGTGGTCCAGTAGTTTGTGTTTTGGTGTGCTGTGTGAACAAAGCTATTGTTCTGGTAGAGCTAAATTTAATAATACGACTGTCATAAGCTATTTTCTCTGTCAGCCATGGCCTTTGCTTAAAATATAGGTATTAGGGATTTGACCTGCAAAAATCCAGATGACTACAGAAAACCTCTTTGCTACTATCTATAGTCACTTGGATTTATGCATCTCAGATCTGTTACACCTGAACATAGTGAATTCTACAGGTATGGACATTTTTCTTTGCCTAAATTTCTTTATCAAAAAAAAAAAAAGCTGAATGAGAAAACGTATTAGCTTTTCTTGTTACTTTTGTTTCTTGGTGGACACAAAACAGTTCAATCACAGCCGTACTAAAACTTTGCATATCTTTGTTGTTTCCTTGAGAGACAGATTTGTCATGGTGAGCAGAAGGAAATACAATGCTAAAAAGAAACAAATCCATCTTTAGGTAATAATGGTTGTATTTACACAATAGGCTGCCTATGGTAAACTGAATTATGAGTTACTCAACCCAAATTGCAGGGCTCATTGAATCATCAAATACTGGGTGGGTTTGCAAGCTCATTTGGTGATTAGCTAGTTTGCAGTTCAGAGTGTTATGTAATAGAACTACTCTCACTATTACTTTGTCTTCTCTCTCTACAGAATGTATAAGTAATAAAGAATTCATATTACTCTCCCAGTTATGGCCAATTGGAGTTGATGAAAATCAATGCATTCATGGATGGCTCTTGAAGACAACAAGGGTTGAATCCTCTGCAAGTTCTGTTGTCTGAAGGTCTACTGAGGAAAATATGTGTCCAAAGGGCCAGCTGGCTGCCCTTCCAATCTTCTTGAGAAGAGTTGGGGATCAAGGTTGTTACTTCCCTTGCTGAGGTAATTTCTTTGGGGATTTAAAGGTTGTTCAAGGATAAGCTATGACAATATACTTACTTAATTAAGTGTGTTAGGGACATTCTGAATTTAGGATGTGTAGGCTAATAGGCATTTTATGTGGCTAATTAGAGCATTTTAACTGTGACTAATTAGAGCAGCCTGCTTAGTATACAAATGAAATAATGAATAGGAACTCTCTGCAATGGCTGGCCCAGAACATTTTCTCAGAAGAGCCCTGCCTAGCAGTTGTGAACAAATCAACTTTAAGCAGGAACCAGATGAATGCCAAGACAGGGGAAGATACATCCATGTAGATGGGAATGAAAACTTGTGCCACCTGGAAAGGGGAATAGCTTGTTGCAAGAAAGATAGCAGAGTTCTCATAACAAAGATACATACCAGAGAATAACAATGGAGTCTAATAGCTTCCAAAATGTGCCCATAATTAGAGCTTTAATCTGATCATTTGAATTCCACAGAGAAATGGAAGTCAAAATATATACTCAGTGATAAAGCAAAAAATCAGGAAAGTTAAAGCCTGTCATCATGTGAAAGCTGTAGTTTAGATTAAAAAAATCTGAGGATTGGTCCATTCCATATTTTTTTTTCTTTAAATCTGCTTAAAATAGCAAAACATAGCCATCAGACTGGTATAAATATCTATGATTCAACTACAGAGAACACTGGTAGTCCCAGATCCTTCCCATTAACCATGGCCATTTTCTTGCTACTGATTATATCATCTTATAGTTTCATCCACGCATTGCTATGGCATTAAAAGCCAACCTTTATTACTGGTATACAGAATAGTAATGCTTCAATGATACTAGAAGCTGCTATAAATCGCTGATAAGGAAATGGCCCTCTTCTTAGCTCTCAGAGACTGGGGAAAGGCATAGCCAATGAAGGCAGAAAAAAGAAATGAAGGAAAATATTGAGGAAACAATCGAAGATTGTACA